TCTTCTTCCTTGCGGGATCTCAGGCAAGATGACCATACCCTCGATATCACTTCTATCTTTGCTTGCTAGTAGTTCGTTCTATCGCTATGTCGCGCTACCTACCACTTGTTATATCATGTCTCCCATATTGCCATGTCAAGCCCCTAACCCACCTTCCTAGCAAAACGTTGTTTGGCTATGTTACCGCTTTTGCTCAGCCCATCTTATAGCGTTGCTAGTTGCAGGTGAAGTTGAAGTTTGTTCCATGTTGGAACATAGATATGTTGGGGTATCACATTATCTCTTATTTAATTTAACGCATCTATATACTTTGTAAAGGGTGGAAGGCTCGGCCTTATGCATGGTGTTTTGTTCCACTCTTGCCGCCTTAGTTTCGTCATACCGGTGTTATGTTCCTTGATTTTGCGTTCCTTACGCGGTTGGGGTTATGGGACCTCCTTGACAGTTCGCCTTGAATAAAACTCCTCCAGCAAGGCCCAACCTTGGTTTTACATTTGCCACCTAAGCCTTTTTCCCTTGGGTTCTGCAGACTCAAGGGTCATCTTTATTTTAACCCCCGGGCCAGTGCTTGCTACCTCTTGAGCACTGCGTTGGATTTCCCCGAAGAGGAGAGGATGATGCAGCAAAGTAGCGTAAGTATTTCCCTCAGTTTTTGAGAACCAAGGTATCAATCCAGTAGGAGGCTACGCGCGAGTCCCTCGTACCTACACAAAAACAATAGCTCAATGCAACCAACGCGCTTAGGGGTTGTCAATCCCTTCACGGTCACTTACGAAAGTGAGATCTGATAGAGATGATAAATAATATTTTTGGTATAGAGATGCAAAGTAAAAAGTAAAAACAAAGTAAAAGAAAAGCAATAATGAAGTGATGGAGATTGATATGATGAGAAAGAGACCCGGGGGCCATAGGTTTCACTAGCGGCTACTCTCCAGAGCATAAGTATTCTACGGTGGGTGAACAAATTACTGTTGAGCAATTGACAGAATTGAGCATAGTTATGAGAATATCTAGGTATGATCATGTATATAGGCATCACGTCCGAGACAAGTATACCGACTCATGCCTGCATCTACTACTATTACTCCACTCATCGACCGCTATCCAGCATGCATCTAGAGTATTAAGTTAAAAACAGAGTAACACCTTAAGCAAGATGACATGATGTAGAGGGATAGTTTCATGCAATATGATAAAAACCCCATCTTGTTATCCTCGATGGCAACAATACAATACGTGCCTTGCTGCCCCTTCTGTCACTGGGAAAGGACACCGCAAGATCGAACCCAAAGCTAAGCACTTCTCCCATGGCAAGAAAAACCAATCTAGTAGGCCAAACCAAACTGATAATTTGAAGAGACTTGCAAAGATAACCAATCATACATAAAATAATTCAGAGAAGATTCAAATATTATTCATAAATAGACTTGATCATAAACCCACAATTCATCGGTCTCAACAAACACACCGCAAAAAGAAGATTACATCGAATAGATCTCCACGAGAGAGGGGGAGAACATTGTATTGAGATCCAAAAAGAGAGAAGAAGCCATCTAGCTACTAACTATGGACCCGTAGGTCTGAAATAAACTACTCACACTTCATCGGAGGGGCTTGGATGATGATGTAGAAGCCCTTCGTGATCGATGCCCCCTTCGGCGGAGCTCCGGAACAGGCCCCAAGATGGGATCTCGTGGATACAGAAAGTTGCGGCGGTGGAATTAGGTTTTTGGCTCCGTCCCCGATCGTTTGGGGGTATGTGGATATATATAGGAGGAAGAAGTACGTCGGTGGAGTTTCGAGGGGCCCACAAGGCAGGGGGGCGCCCTAGGGGGGGTGCCCTCCACCCTCGTGGCTGCCTCATGGCTTTCTTGACGGAGGGTCCAAGTCTCCTGGATCTTATCTGATGAGAAAATCACGTTTCCGAAGGTTTCATTCTGTTTGGACTCCGTTTGATATTCTGTTTCTCCGAAACACCGAAATAGGCAAAAAACATCAATTCTGGGCTGGGCCTCCGGTTAATAGGTTAGTCCCAAAAATAATATAAAAGTGGAAAATAAAGCCCAATATAGTCCAAAACAGTAGATAATATAGCATGGAGCAATTAAAAATTATAGATACGTTGGAGACGTATCAGTGCTCCTCTGAGTGTTGGTCCAAAACAGAGCCACTTGCGGTGCCGTGCCTAGGAAACTTGGGATATCTTCGGTTTCCGTACGTAGTGTTCATCCGGTGTGCCCTGAGAACGAGATACATGCGACTCCTATCGGGATTTGTCGGCACATCGGGCGGCTTTGCTGGTCTTGTTTTACCATTGTCGAAATGTCTTGTAACCGGGATTCCGAGACTGATCGGGTCTTTCCGGGAGAAGGAATATCCTTCATTGACCGTGAGAGTTTGTGATGGGCTAAGTTGGGACACCCCTGCAGGGTATAAATTTTCGAAAGCCATGCCCGCGGTTATGTGGCAGATGGGAATTTGTTAATGTCTGGTTGTAGATAACTTGACACTTGACTTAAGTAAAAGGCATCAACCGCGTGTGTAGCCGTGATGGTTTCTTTTCGGTGAAGTCCGGGAAGTGAACACGATTTGGGTTATGTTTGAACGTAAGTAGCTTCAGGATCACTTCTTGATCATTTCTAGCTTCACGATCGTTGTGTAGCTTCTCATCTTAGTCTTATTTGCGTATGTTAGCCACCATTTTAGCTTAGTGCTTGCTGCAGCTCCACCTCACTACCTTATCCTACCCATAAGCTTAAATAGTCTTGATCTCATGGGTGTGAGATTGCTGAGTCTTTGTGACTCACGGATACTTCCAAACAGTTGCAGGTGCCGATGATACCAGTGCAGGTGATGCTACCGAACTCAAGTGGGAGTTCGACGAGGACCTTGGTCGTTACTATGTTTCGTTTCCTGATGATCAGTAGTGGAGCCCAGTTGGGACGATCAGGGATCTAGCATTTGGGGTTGTCTTTTTTTATTTTGGTTCCGTAGTCATACCTGGATGATGTATGTTTAACTTGTTATTTGTGTGAAGTGGCGATTGTAAGCCAACTCTGTATCCCTCTCTTATATAGTACATGAGATTGTGTGAAGATTACTCCTCTTGCGACAAAACCACCATGCGGTTATGCCTCTAAGTCGTGCCTTGATACGTGGGAGATATAGCCGCATCGTGGGTGCTACAAGAGCCATGGGGAACCAGTTCGCCATGACTTTCTCGTCGCCGTTGGCCGCCTCGATGCTCAGCTCATAGAGCTGCAAGAACTCCGCAGGGTCAGGGAAGCCGTCGTAGCGAGGAGGCAGGTCTGGCTTGAACTTGCCTAGCCAAACAACGCCAAGCAGCTCCGGAGTGAAGGCGCGGCAGCCCGCTGTGGCCACCGGGGCCCTTTGCAGAGGCGAGGCCCGCTCTCGATGCACGCGCACCGCCATCGCAGGCGGCACGCGGTCTTGATGAGATGGCGCCGGGAGTGCAGGAGCGTTTTCTTGCGGCCGGGGAACTTCTTGGTAGCTTCCTTCTTCGCGCGCGGGTGCCCGACGCGGGGGCACGCCGAGGGGCCGCCCGTCTTGTTGCCAGGGCGCCGCCTTGGTGCGGAGGTGGCGGAGGCACTCCAGGGCTACGTCACCCGCGACTGAAGAAGGGCGAGGTAGCGAGAGAGATAGTGTGGGTGAGCCCCCAGCTGTGCTGACGAGCTTGGCGATGCGGTCCAGCCAGTCCTTGTAGAGGTCGTCGACTAGGCGGTAGTGCAGGAGCTCGTGTGCCGTGAGTAGCGCGGCCTGCGCGTTCGTGGGCGTGCGACGAGCGTGGGACAATGAGCCGGCCGGAGTCAGTGATGGGATGGCGATGCGGCCGTCCCGCCGCACCGAGGGGTGCAGCGAAGATGCTTGCTGCTCGTTTCCCGCCGGGCCAGTGACGGCGTTGGCGGTGGGTGATGGAGGACGACGGGGAGGCCCGCCGACAGGGGCTGTCTGAGCGACGTGAGCGGCCAGGGCGGCCCGGCTCTCGACGCGAGCTCCACCTCCTCGCATGACAACGGAGGAGGAGGCCCGTCTCATGGCGCGTGTCATGGAGGACTCCATGCGCACGCACGACGAGCGCCAATGGGAGGGCCTCGAGGAGATGACGGCCCTCTCCGCGACCGGCGACGTCGCCATCCCCGAGCTGGAGATGGTGGCGAAGGAGGAGGTGATGGAGGAGCCGCCGGTGGCCGCGTTCCACCCGGGCCTGGTGGGCCAGCACTAGAACTGGTCGTGCATGGCTCCGGAGATGGCGGACGCCGTGGGGGGCGTGAACTGGTGCCCCACACCGCCACGGTCACCGGAGCGGGACGCCTCGCCACGGGAGGAGGTGGTGCAGGCACCTGCCACCTTCCGGCCCGCCTCCCTCGTGCACCACGGACCGCCGACCCACCTCTGGACGCCGCCGGACTACGTCGACCTCGTTAAAGACGACGACGACATCGGTGGCCACTGAAGACGGCCACGACACCGACATCGACGGGCGCGACAGAACCGCGCGGGCGGCATTTTTTTCGTTTTTATGTTAATTATGGCACTGGGCCGTTAAGTGAACCATGGAACTGAGTCGTTTTGTGGCCATGACCCCTTAAATCATGTTTTAAGTTTTTTTAACTGTGTTTATTTATTTTTAAAGTCATTTTATTTTAGTTTTTTTATCACGTCCAACACAAACATGATTTGGAGTGCGACCGTCCACTGAATGCATCCATGATCCAACAGACAGAAGTGGACATGAACGAATTCATTGTGGCCCCAAAGGCGTAAAATTCGGTCAAACCGAACGTTCATTTGGATCATGCAGTGAAGTTGGGCTAAGCCATCGGACCGGGCTCAGGACGTGACCGATCCCGATCGGTCGAGCGAGCGTCCTCCTTTGCTTTTTTTTTTTTGAACTTTCCTCCTTTGCTTTCTTTGTTTGGAAAAGCCATCTCCGCTGCTCGTTCTTTTTTTTTTGAGCCGCATCAGATTGAGAATTGGATATGCTGGGTTCAGCCGTCCTCCGGCTCGCCACCCCGCCTCGCGCCGCCGTCTCCGCTGCTGCCGGAAACATCTCGGTATAAGCCTTTTCCTCCTGTCGTTCTGCGCACTCCTTCCTACGGTCTACATACGCATCTCACATGGAGTGGCTTCTTGGTCTGTATATTCGACGGGCGGCGACAGCTCGTGGATGGCAGCCTCCGCGCTGTGCTGCACCCGGGGGCGGACGACGCAGATTCAGCGGCGGCGGGGTGCTCGCACAAGTGGCGGATGGTGATCGCCTACGACGGTACCAAGTTCAAAGGTTTTTCTCGCCCCTCTTCTCTGCACCCGGATTCTTTAGATCGGTGGTGTTTGTGTATTCGATCATTATTAGATTCTTGGGGGTGGTGATGAATGGTTATCGGCGCTACCTAAGGACGGTTGCATCGAAGGGAGAAGAGAAAGCAAATGGTTGCAGAAGGTAGGTTTTCTATTACCGGGGATCACTAGTTTGCCATCGGACCAACTATTTGCCATATGATTAGAATGTCCATTTTAACTGAGTGTGCGTACATGGGCCTGGTGGAATTGTTAGCTTCTACTCTCTTCATCCCAAAACATTTGAAGTTTTAGGCTTGTCCTAAGTTAAACTTCTTTAAGCTTGACCAACTTCATAGAAAAAAGTGCTTATATCTACAACATCATATATATATATATATATATATATATATATATATATATATACATATATATATATATATACATACATATATATAGCAAAAAGGCCCGTGCGTTGCAACGGGAGAAAAAAAATCCACTCATATCTCTAGCTGGGTCAGTTGGACAAACTATGAGTGCCCGGTTGGCAGGTTATGAGATCGAACCCTCCCATCAGCAATTTTATTTTTCTCCGGACCTGGCCCACAGTGCGCTGCTAGATGGGCTTTCTTCGTTGAGCCAAAACGGGTGGCAAATAATGAAACCAAATAGCTTATGTGAAATTAATTGAAGCGGGACCAAACGAAACGGAACGAAACCAAGAATATCACCTCCTTTTACTAGTAGTTATATTATATATATATATATATATATATTATATGAAAAATGTTTCCTACAAGCAGTGGTAGTTACCACCACTTACGTTTTGTATGTTGTACGTAGTATCTGTCAAAACCGAGAGTATGTACGCGTAGTATGTAGTATATAACAATGTTTGGGTAGTATATATACTACTTTTTAGGTAGTATGACCAAATTTTGAGTATACTCCTTTTTACATATAAATATGTACGTATTTCGTGAATATAACAAAACTATGGGCTGATATGAAATATTTTCATGGACCTTGCTTTGAAATATCTTAAATATATTATATGAACATATTTAGAATGATAAATTAGTATATATAATACTTCATGATAATATATATATATATATATATATATATATAGGAAAAATACATCCTACCACCTAGTGGTAGTTACCCCACATGTCTCATATACTACCATATGGTACTATATATACTACTTTATCACTCTAAATATGTTCATATACTATATCTAAGATATTTGAACGCAAGTTACATGAAAAAATTGCATATGAGCCCATAGTTTTTGTTATATTTATGAAATACGTACATATTTGTACGTAAAAAAGAGCATGCTTAAAATATGGTACATACTACCTAAAAAGTAGTATATATACTACCTAAACATCGTTATATACTACATACTACACGTACATACTCTCGGTTTTTACAGATACTACATACAACATACCAAACGCAAGTGGTGGTAACTACCACTGGTGGTAGATAAAATTTGTCCTATATATATATATATATATATATATGTTATGTTGAGTCTAATGAACCTAATTTGGTATTGTAGTTGTTGGTATATTTTTCTACAAACTTGGTCAAACTTAAAGAAGTTTGACTTAGGACCAACCTAAAACATCAAATATTTTGGAACGGAGGGAGTAGTAGTCTTGTTCCGTGTTTTCTAGAGACAGATTGATAATTACGATTTGTTTCTAGCTAATAGATCTAGCAGATTAGTTGCATTTTTCTTTTTTCAAGATTCAAGATGTATTTTGTGATGAAAACATATTTTTTGTGCCACGTAACATGTTTCTTGATCAATGGAAGCATCATTTTTCTAGTACGTTGGAAATATATTTGTTCGCTAGATGGAAACAGTTTTCGTGACCAATATTAACGTTTTTTCTTTGCAATGGTAATATTTTCAAGTACTTTGGAAACAAGTTTTTCTGTGTGTAACAGAGTCAAATTGTATGATTTTTTTGCTTTGGTTGAAACAATATAGCAGACACTGATAGTGGTTGAAACAAAAAATTACTACAAGAAGCAAAATGAATAAGATACAACTTCACTAAAAGAAACAAAAGTACATGTGAGTGAAGCACATACAAGGTAGTGATTTTAGAAGAACGAGTGTAGAAATAAAGGAAGCACATGGTGGTAGTGGTTGAAGTAAAAATTTACTGCCATAGAAACATGCGTGAGAAATATAAGTAGGCTTCGTGGCTGGCACGAAGCAACATTCTTGGGCAATGGAAGCTTAGAAAGTTGATTTTACAAAGGCATGCTTGCCGGGCAACATTTGGGGTCAAAAAATTTGTGGTTTGCGAATCAGTTTAATAAAAACAAATTTAGGTTGAGCGCGCTCATAACATCTTTGAAATGAAGTACCGCGAAACAACTTTTCAATACACTGTGCGTAGGATTGGTTTACCGGAGGGAAGAGTTTACCAGAAATAACGGGGCAATTATGCGATATTTCTTCTTATCTTGTCAATTTTATTATGAATGCCTTTTTTTGTTGTCATTTTGTTGGTTTTGAGGTTTTACTGTTGTGTCATTTATGACACTAACTACCGTACACCGCTAGGACGTGCTTTAACCATTGTATTTTGAATTTGGCCTAGTGATGATTCATTTCGTGAGTATCCAAAGAATCGATGGTGATCTTAAGTAGCATACGGTCCTTGACATTTATGGTTACACTTATTGGGGTGAACTTTGTAAACTATAGCCCCAGAGAAGGAGGTAGTTCTTTTTAGGATCTTGAGACATTGATGTACGTGTATATGTGCCTACCACCTCTCCTACATTACCAGCAATACTAGAAGCAGCACACACAGTTCGTCATGAGGGCATTCAAAAAACGTTACATCGGCTTCGGGCTGATTTCCATGTACCACAGGCCCGCAAGTTGGTTAAGGAGTTTGTGCAGATTTGTGTGAGATGTCAACGCCACAAATGGGATCATTTACACCCTGCAGGCCTGTTGCAGCCATTGCCAGTCCCACAACAAATATGGGACGGCATATCTATGGATTTTGTGGAGGGGTTCCCGCGTGTGCACGGCGTGTGCACGGCAAATCGGTCATACTTACAGTAGTGGACAGTTTCTCTAAATACAAACACTTTATTCCTTTGGCACACCCTTATCCTCTACTTCCGTAGCAAGAGTATTCTTTGATGAGGTGGTTCTTGCACGGGATGCCAACATTGATTGTCAGTGATCGACTGATCGTGATCCAATTTTCACTAGCCGCTTTTGAGAGGGACTCTTTCAGTTGGCTGGTGCACAGCTTAAAAAAGGCTCAGCTTTTCATCCCCAGTCTGATGGTCAGACAAGAGGCCGTGAACAAAGTGATTGCTATGTACTTACGCTGCCTTTCAGGTGATCGGCCCCGACAATGGCTTGCATGGGCAACTGTTTTTGAGTCGCGACTAGACTAGTCTAAGTCGACGAGTCGCACTGCCAGGGTTGACTCAAACCCCTCGACTAGTCGAGACTAGTCGCGACTAGTCGATTGGCCAGGCTCGACTCGTCACTAGTTGCTACCCCATAACGACTCATCGACTCGAAAACCTTGGCATGGGCTGAGTATTGCTATAATACTTCATATCATTCCCCCTTAAGGAGACACCTTTCAAGGTGGTTTACGGGTGTGACCCTCCATCTTTGCACTCTTATGAGCCAGGCTGTGCCAAACTAACTGCAGTGGATTCTCTTCTCCAAGACCATGATGAATTTCTTGTTGTTATTAGGATTGATTCCTGCAGGCACAACAATACTATAAGAGACAATATTGACAGTCCCCGTCGAGGGCTCGGCTTTGAGATTGGACAATGGGTTTGGTTGCGTTTACATCATAGTCAGGTGGCATCTTTGGCAATCAAGGCTCACTCTAAGCTAGCTCCCCAATTCTGTGGATCATACCAAGTCATAGAACAGATTGGTTCAGTAGCATCGTCTCAAACTTCCAGAGAAAGCTCGGATTCATGATGTCTTTCATGTTAGCTTATTGAAGCCTTACCATGGGGAGGCTCCTGCAGTTCCGCCACCATTGCTTCTGCTTCACAATGGTCGGGTGTGTCCTGTTCCAGAGAAGGCCCTCAAATCTCGCGTGACTCAGGGGTAAACTGCAAATTCTCATCTAATGGCAGGGGCTACCAGCTACTGGAGCTTCTTGGGAAGAGGCTGGGGAATTACAGAAGATATATCCACAATTCCAGCTCAAGGACGAGCTGCTTCTCAAGGAAGGGAGAGATGTCATGTGGGGATCTACGTATCAGAGGAGGAAACATGCATCCAGACCTCCAGCTTAAAAGGCTAAGGAATCCTAGTACTAGTTGGCTGCAGCACGAGTCCATGTCCCACAAGTGTCTTAGTAGTTGCACGTTCAGTTTAGGGAAGAGTCTTAGTCCAACTTTGCCTTTGAGTCCTATGTGTAAGGTCAACCCTATATAATGAGGCAGCCATCGTTATTATTTTTGGCGAATACTCTAGGCGTGTATCATTGCATTGATAGGGGAAAGAAACATTAGTTAGGCAGCCCACAAACAACGTACACAACTAGGAGATGATGTGGGTGCCAATGAGCAGATAGAAGGGGGGATGCTCAGCCCCAGATACAAGAGATTATGTTACAGGTAAAATGGTGTCTAAGCCTTTGGTGCCAGCCCATGTCCAATGCCACGCCTCCTCTTTGACAGTCTTGATGATCTTGTGAGTTATTATGAGTCAAGTCAAGAAGTCTAATCCCCAATCATGATCTCTCCGTTTCTGCCTGACGTAATTCTGTGCCCTGTCCCCTGCACCTCTCCTGCTACCATGGCTCCACCAACAGGGGGACGCATGGGTCCTAGTCCCCAGCCTCCTACCTATCACAATCATCGTCTACGCTCAACCCATGCTCGTGACACATGTTGTTTTCTTTTTTGCCCTTATCTGATTAGTGCACTTATTTCCTAATATTTTTGTATTAGCACATCAGGTTGCACGCCCCTTGAATGTGACCAAACGATCAACTATGTTCCAATGAGGCTCAGTAGTTCCAGCCAAGATGAAGGCCTTTAATTCAGATAGCTCCTCGTCACTATCCCCTTGCTGCCGCAAGTTCTCAGAGAGGGGAAACTGTGGACTGGAGATGGCGCATAGATCGGCTGTTCTTTCGTCAGCATTGCAACATGATAAAGCATCTGCCACAATGTTCTGGTGACCAGGGCGAAATTCGACACATAAATCAAATCAGAGGAGCTTGCTCACCCAATGATGCTGTGGAATAGTTGACAGACGTTGATCCAACAACAAATTCAAACTATAATGATCTGTGCGAACAAGAAAGGATCTTTCCCATAAATATGGCCGCCAATGACACACAGCCTGCATTAAGCCAATGAGCTCACGTTCATAAGCAGCAAGATGCATGTGTTGAGGAGCAATCTGTTTACTGAAGAAAGCCACAGGACCATTTCCTTGATGTAACACATTCTACCACAAAGTCCAAGCTGAAATCAGGCAATTGTAGCACAGGAGATGATACAAGAGCCTTTTTCAGAACATGGAACGATGTTTCTGCTTTGTTCATCCAAGCAAATCCCGCCTTCAATAACATTGTAAGGGGAGCCGCAAGTGTACCAAAATCCTTGATGAAGCGGTGGTAATACCCAGCCAGACCTAAAAATCCATGCAACACAGAGCGAGGAAATGGCTGTGTTATGAAAGCAACTTATCTCTATTGAAGGCCCAAGGGGCATATATACATTACACATGACTTGGGATACAAGGAAAGTAAACATGGCCTAATAGAACTCTTAGACCAATACTAATATTTGCCAACACCACCCCTCAAATGCAAAGCGTATGCAATGGCAATGCATTTGAAGTGTAACACTAAAAAAAATGATAATCCAAATCCGCGTCTTGAGAGTGTCGTCGTAGCATGAAGAGTCTTCAAAACCTGTCGAGTCAAGCCAAAGGGAAGAACGGAGAGATGGCACATCAGAGGAAGACACCACATCACTTGAAGATACAAGAGAAGTATCAAGAGAAGATGAGTTGTCAAAAAAGTGGGCACATCAAGAGAATAAAGCATTGCGCAGAGAATCATAGCCTACTACAACCGAGGATGAAAGAAGCGCGGTGGCTAAGGCACAATGGGCGTAGGTTGATAATGCAAAAAGAGTCCAAAAAATCCTACAGAAAACAACAAGGGCAAGTAGGCCACAAAAGTTGTATAGAAAGGATTAGGACCAGAGAAAGGCTGACAGACAAAAGTATGGTGGACTCGCATGGCATGAGAAACACTAGATATCAACGGATTTGGTGGATGCAGCGGAAAATATAGACTAGAAAGCAATTATACTAGAGAGTAGCGGAAGAAACATGATTTTTCTATATGATGCCTCACGGGAAACAGAGGAGCCAGCAATCTCACATATTATAGGAGTCCAAAACTGGGCTTGAAGCGGCAGCAGGCCAAGCAGGAGAAATCCATGGTGGACAACACCGTCAAGGAATCAGTTCGTGGCTGGGTAAGCAGAGCAGTAGCAGCAGGAGAGCAGCACACGTTGGGGCAGCGGGGATGTGAGAAGCCAGGGCGAGGTGAGCGTCGGCACGCGGAAACCGGCGCGGGGAGCAGCGGGGCCCGCGACCTGGAAGTCGACGGCGGCGTTCATTCTGGGAGGGAGTAGCGGCGAGTGCAGGCAACTGATCCAAGAGTCTTGCGCGGCGAGGCTGGGTGGGGCGACACCACAGGGAGGCGTCGGGAGCCAGCGGTAGGCATGGCCGACTCGAGCTGAAGAAGAAGCGGGTGGACGTCTGGGGCAGCGGCTTGGTGATTGAGGGGCGGCGTCCTCCTGGGGATGGTGGTGACGGCGGACGATCTGGACTGCAACTTGGTGATCTGATCTGGAGCCTGCCGTGCGTTGACCCGGGGCAGAGGCACCCCTCATGTGCAGCGGCCAACGAAGACTGAAAAGAAAATTTGATCGGAGGACAAGCTGCAACTCCGGAGGGGACCTAAAACCTAGGCTCTGATACCATGTTATGAAAACAACTTATCTCTATTGATGGCCCAAGGGGCATATATATATTACACATGACTTGGGTTCAAGGAAAGTAAACATGGCCTAATAGAACTCTTAGACCAATACTAATACTTCCCAACATCGGTCACTACCTGAACCTTTAGTTGGTCCATAGCGACACCTTCACTGTTGATGACGTGGCCTAGATAAATCACTGAGGAGACACCGAATAAGCATTTGGGCCATTTGAGAAACAAGTGATGATCTCAGAAGAAAGCAGAGCACAGATCTGACATGCCTCAAGTGGTCTGACCAAGAAGTGGTATAAATCAAAATATCATCAAAAATGACCAAGACAAACAGGCGGAGGAAAGGGCGTAAGATGTCATTCATGAGAGCCGAATGTTGTTGGGGCGTTATCAATCCAAAAGGCATGACCATGAACTCAAACAATCCTTGGTGGGTCCTAAAAGCCGTCTTTTCCCCATCGGCAGGGTTCATACGCGCTTGATACCCTGATTGTAAATCCAATTTGGTGAAAAAGAGAGTGGGGAGTGATGTCATCTGGGCCTAGCACTTCAGGCGCAGAAATAGGGAGGGTCCCAAATCTGCTTAGAGATAGGCTTTATCTTTAGTTTGCTGGTATATCAAATTAGTTAAGTATTCCCATCGATAACCATCGTGTTAGTTGGAAAGTTGAGTTATTGTATCAGCCGGCCCTATATATAAAGGGACCTAGGCCTAGTACGTGTGCATCAGAGAATCAATAAAGAAGAAAAGAGGAAGACTTGCCTCCAGTTATCCCCAAATCCTAACTTCCCTGCACCCACGGCACACAAGGATCTGCACGGCTACGTTTTCCGGAGCCTGGGCCGTGACAGTATCACTACCCCTTGTTAGCTATTTTATGTTCTATTAGCAACTAGCTGGAGGAAAATTCTGCAATTTTGAAGCAATTTCCTCAAATTAAACCTGTCTATCATCTATATTGTAGTTATATATAGTTGCTTGACTCCATACTAACATTACTAAGATTGGGTACATAACTTCAGAATTTTGAAATCTCAACTGATTCTCAAATTACTATTGTTCTTAGGTTGGCAGTATCAACCATCACCTCCAACTATACAATGCTTTCTAGAGAAAGCACTGATACGCATCACGAAGCTCGACCGGAAGGAGCTTTGTTTGGTTGGTGCAGGAAGGACAGATACAGGTGTTCATGCACAGGGTCAGGTTTAATTATCTTATTACACTGGAACACGGTCTCAAATGTACTTGTATATCCTTCATTGTTGGTAGGCTTAAAAATGCTGTGATAACACGTCATATGTTGTTTTGCAGGTGGCACATTTCACCACGCCGTTTGCCTACCATTGTCTCGACAGCTTTCATTCTGCAATCAATGGGCTTCTGCCTCCTGATATCCGAGTTAGAGAAATTAGCGCAGCTTGTCCAGAATTCCATGCTCGCACATCCACAAAGAGCAAAATATATCATTACAAGATCTATAACGAAGCAGTTATGGACCCCTTCCATACTAATTATGCTTACCACAGTGCACATAAACTTAATCCACATGCTATGCAGGAGGCTGCAAATCATTTTGTTGGAGTACATGACTTCACATCTTTCGCTAATGCAGTACATAATGATCGTGTGCGCAGTCCAATAAAGAAGATATCACGCTTTGATGTTACTAAGATGGTGATTTATTATCCCACGAGTTTGATTTTCTACTACCCTTACGAGTTCAGTATCACCTGCTTGATTTGTGTTTTGTTTGACCTGACATTTTCTGGTTGCCGTACAGGATGCTATCATACAACTCGAGGTTGAAGGCACTGGCTTTTTGTACAGACAAGTGAGGAACATGGTAATTTTGATCTCTTGTTTAATCATGTGCCTAAGTTAAGTTATTTTTGCATGTCACATCACCTGAACAGAAGTAAAGAGCTGTGAGTAGTACGGTAGTAGGGGCCTGGTACCTTTTGCTTGCCTTTGTTGATTCATGTGCTAGCCCTTGCATGGAACAAACTGAGTGTAACACAACCTCCTAACAATTTTTCATATAATCTTACCATATAAGCATTGAAGAACTTATCATGACCCTTTTACTTTTGAAAATGTTGTATGTATTAATTAAGATAACACAGAGTCATTACAATCATGCCGCACCAGGTCCAACACGGAGGTCGGAGCTGACTGCGCGTATACACCACTACACGCCCTTCTCTACTGAACCTAGCTAAACCAACTTGCCGTGATCCTTAATAAGCATGGAACGTGGTATATGGCTGCATGTGATACAAGCGCCTTAGCCAACTCATGGGAACAATTGTCATTCTTTTACTTTTTACCTTGTCCCTAAAAATAGAATAATCGATGAAGCATAACAGCAGTTCATTCAACTGGGTTACTTTATCATAGATCGAATGTACAATGGGTATCTAATGATTGGATCATATGCCCAACTTACGCACTAGTATTTGCAGCTTTTGCGAGGGAGAAGATTATATTTATCTCACTAACTCAACAGGAAATATCTTTAGGGAATTGACTACCAGACACTTTTCTTTCTTGAAAAGGGGTTTGTACCCCCGGCCTCTGCAGCGATTGATGCACAAAACGCTTTTATTACAAAGTTATAGAATGTAGTAAGATAATGTAAACAGGACATACACATCAAACAATAGATATTGCGCAAGGCACTTAACATTACTAATCCTATTGCTAAGCCGACACCTAAATTGGCTGAATATAGTCCATGCGACCATCTCCAAGTGGCTGCACGCAGAGTCCAGATGCTCCCGAGCCTCCGATAGTATGCTGAAGCAAACATTTATTTTTAATCTCTAGATCTTCCACCCTGATCTTTTGGCTGGCAAATAATGCTCCACTTTGTGAGCTGATATTTGCGTTTATGCTCATCCGATTGCTAAAAGAAACTGGATTTGTGTTAGTCCAATCTTAAAAGACGTTGCTCCCTAAGCACCATCGCCACCATCTCGTCTGATGTTGGGGGAGCAATGCCACCACACGTCACTGGTCGCCTGCGCCGCTGGCCCCGCCGCCACTGCCTCTCCACCGGCCGCCCACACCACTGCCGCCTTGCTGCCACACCACGCCGACCACCAACGCCGCACCCGCCGCTATCCGTCATCTGCCAGTAGCGCCACCGCAGCATCACCGCCTTGCCGGTACACATCACTGGCCGCCCGCAACGCCACCACCGGCTGCTAGACGTTCACGCCGCCCCACCGTGCCGCCGGTTGCCGGAGCTCCGCCGGTGTCTTTGTGCACACTAGAGGGAAAGATATAAAGAGATTAGCCACTGACATGTGGGACACATATGTCAGGCTTAGTTTAGGGAGAGGTTTATAGGGGAACTGCTACAGCCGCACACCTGTGAAACCCAATAAAATTATTGGGAGAGCCTCCAAACGCACTTATAGGGGAAGGTTTTTGAGGGAACTTCTGAATTCTAAGGCCCTCTTTTGTTAAGACCGGTGGCTGAGAGCGCAAGAGTAGAGCTATATTTGAGCTTATAAAGTGGTAGCCTTCTTTTGTGGCGGAGATAATTTATTTTCACGTAATGTTATTGCAAACATCGGTTGCTATGCTAGGTTATTTCGGACTTGATATCTTGCTGTACTATATTTTACCTGCGATCATCATCACTCTCCCCCCACGCTCGAAATCCCTGATGTTTGTGCCACAGAACAACTCGATAATATGTTGGCAATGCAGGTAGCTTTGCTAATTCAAGTTGGAAGGGAGGGACTGCCTCCTGAAATCGTCCCGGGAATCATTGCGGCAAAGGACCGCAAAGAACTTGCGAAGGTGGCCTTGTCAGCACCACCACATGGATTGTATCTCATGTCAGTTAACTATGACAAAGAAATCTTGAAGCCTCCTGTGGGTTCCCCTCCGGTGAGCTTTGGAAGGACTCATCAGATCAGTAGATGCAAACTTCTGTTTTACTAGCACAAATGTCCGTGCGTTGCAACGGGAGAAAATTTTATATTTATTAATATAAAACACATCCCTTGTTCATTAAAATTGTACGTGCAGATCCCATGCGTTGCAATGGTAATAAATTTGAGCTTGTGTGGTATTCGAGAGTTTACCTGCCGTCGTGCATAGTACATTTGCTCGTGCCTCGTGTTAGAATACAACTTGTGTTAGGGTTATGACTCATACTTGGTTTGTAATAATGCTAGGTCAGGGGTGGCTTAGCTCTTATATATACTTCTTATACCGGCACAATATTGTATCAACAATTTTTCAATACAATTCTTTTCTTTTGAGGGTACGCCAATGGCGTACCTTAACTTTATAGAAAGAAGAAAATATGTACAAGAGATTACACATCGCTAGTTAGGAGTCACAAACCGACCCTAACCAAGCCTCCACACCACTCCCTAGCTCTACTCGACTACTATGATCGGTTGTCCTCCGAAAGCTCCTGATTTGGCCCAGGTCCTCAGCTCATTAAAGATAGAGTCTAATGTGTCCCATTCGTTCTTGATTATGCCCGTGCCGAAGACCCTTACACTCCTTTGCTTCCATATCGTCCAACAGATTAGCATCACGAGGGTGTCAAAGCCTTTCCGAGACTGCTTATCTATTCGCTTTCTCGTATCCGTCCACCACTGCACTAATCTTGAGTCATTTGTTGGGCAAAGGCCGGTCGTCAAACCCATCCTAGTAGTGCAGTGGAATCACACTTGCCGCGAGAACACGCACTGCAGCAAAATGTGGTCAACTGTATTCTCCTCCTGGTCACACATGTAACATTTTGATGCTTGGTCTTGCAAACCGTGCCTAGCTCTCCTGTCCGAGGTCCATAGATGATATTGCACCGCGAGCCACATGAATAGCTCACACGCAAGCGATGCCCAACACTTCCATATGGTTCCGAAGCAGTGGAATCTGACTCCTCCCTCGCATAGCATCTTGTACGCAGATGATGTCGTGTAGACTCCGGGCGTGTTCCAAGCCCAGATGGGGCAGTCCTCGACCTGAGTGTCCAAATGAACTTCCAAGAGAATCTCTCAAAGGCCGATGAACTGGGTGAGACCCTCAGTGCATAGGTCACCCACTACATCGTCCATCCATGAATGCATGTACATCGCATCTCACACAAGTCTCCTGTTTGCCACTTGTGTCCGCACCTTTGCCACAACCAAGGGTGCAAAATCTTTAATAGCTGCTCCATGTATCCATCGGTCTTTCCAGAACAAGGTCTTGCCTCCTGAACCAACTTCCCATTTGACAAGGCTTCCAAAAGCTTGATCCACCTTTTTGTCCGAGGTCAAGTTGAGGCCTTGCCACGGCCTGGAATCATCAGTGCGTCCGAGCCATTCCCATCCGAGTCTTAAAGCGATACCGTGCTTAACCAGGTCAATGACACCCAAGCCTCCCAAGTGTTTAGGCCTGCACACTCTAGCCCAGGAGATGACACATTTGCCTCCATTCACCGCCTCGGTTCCGGCCCAGAAAAATGCTCGACACCCCTTGTCCACTCTCTCCAGAGCCCATTTAGGTGTCTCTGCTATCATGAGATGATGTGTAGCGCGCCCCCTCATTACTTGATTGACAAGAATGAGCCTCCCCGGCCTCGTCACGAGACCCTTTTGCCATCCTGGCAGGATGTGGAGAGCCGTGTCAACAATTGGCTGTCACTCTGACCTTTTGAGTTGCCTGATGCTAAGCTGGAGCCCAAGGTATTTGCATGGAAAGGTGTCGATTCAATACAATTCTACATGGTATCAGACTTTCGATCCTAGGGTATGGCTAACCTGCCAGCCCCGCCACCGCCGCCGCCGCCCAACCACTTCAAGCGGCGCACCGCCATCGTTGCCGCCAAGGTCGCCGCGACCATGGCCTCCTCCGCCTCTACCTCTACTCTAGCTCTACCTCCACCAATATCCCCTTCCATCTCCTTCACCGACACCATCTCCGATATTAGCACCTATATCCCCGTAACCCTAGACCTCGCTGCTCACAACTACTACCATTGGCGTCACCTTTTCGACGTCCACCTTGGGCGATGCAATTTCCACTCTCATGTTATCGACGACTCTCTTCCTCAACTTCATGATCCGCAATGGATCAAGGATGATCTCGCCATTATTCAATGGATCTACATGCGAGTCTCCACAGAGATCTTCAATCTCGTCCACTGTGACGGTGCCTCCGCCGCCGATCTATGGGCAGCCCTTCGTCAGCTCTTCCAGGACAACGTCGACGCTCACGCCAACAATCTCCACACCAAGCTTCAGAATACGGTGCAAGGTGATTCACCAATTGGCGTCTACTGCCAACGCCTCAAGGCGATCGTGGATGAACTCCGCGAAATTGGTGATTCAATCGACGATCGCCAGCTCATCAACGTCCTCCTCGTCGGCCTCAGCGAGCGGTTCGAGAAGCAGGCCTCCTTCATCCCTATGATGCGTCTGCGTCCCTCCTTCGCCGAGGTTTGCTTGATGCCCCAATGGGCCGATCGTGCCCTAACTACGAAGGACTCCCGTCTTCAGGTCTTCACTGCTTCTCCTCGCCCGCCTACATCAACGCCGCCACCGCCACCAATAGCACCTCCTCAACCATTCGGCTGACGTCCAAGTCCCAACTACCGGGGCAAAAACCCTAGGCCACCGCAGTTCCGCACGGCGCCCGCTCCTGCTCCGCCCCGACTCCATCAACTGCACCACCATTGCCGCCCGGATGGCGCCCATCTCTTGACCCATGGACAGGGCCAGTCCAGGCGTGGCCTATGCCTTGGTCGGCCCCTACGCCATACGGTGCCCCGCCTGCCTATACCGGTGGCTGGCAGCCCGGTGCTCGCCGTCACACCGACGCGCTCGTCCTCGCGCCTCGACAGCCGACGACTGCGTACCACACTGCTCCCTCCTACGTGCCACTGATCTACAACACCAGTCCTTATGCATCCTATGGCGCTCCATCGCCTCCCTACATGCAGCAGTGCAATGATGGTGCCTGTCGGTGTCAAAACCGGCGGATCTCAGGTAGGGGGTCCCGAACTGTGCGTCTAAGGCGGATGGTAATAGGAGACAGGGGACACGATGTTTACCCAGTTTTGGGCCCTCTTGATGGAGGTAATACCCTACGTCCTGCTTGATTGTTCTTGATAATATGAGTATTACAAGAGTTGATCCACCACGAGATTGTAGAGGCTAAACCCTAGAAGCTAGCCTATGGTATGATTATCTGTTGTCCTACGTACTAAACCCTCCAGTTTATATAGACACCGGAGGGGGCTAGGGTTTACACAAGGTCGGTTACAAGGGAGGAGATCTACATATCAGTATTGCCTAGCTTGCCTTCCACGCGAAGGAGAGTCCCATCCAGACACGGGACGAAGTCTTCAATCTTGCATCTTCATAGTCCAACAGTCCGGCTAAAGGATATAGTCCGGCCGTCCGGAGACCCCCTAATCCAGGACTCCCTCAGTGCCTCTCTCTTGACGCCGATGCTGGCCCTATTGCTGACGCCACCACACTCGCAAGCTCACATGACTACACCGGCCTCTACTTCGACTCCGAGCTGGGACCAAGCTGCTTTTCTACAAGCCATGAACAACTTTGCTGCACAAGGGAACCCAGGTACGGATTTCGATTCTGGTGCTTCTCATCGTATGTCTGCATCAAGTAGTTTGCTTTCTTCTTGCACACCTTCGTATTTTCCCTCTATTACTCTCGGTGATGGATCTTCTATTCCTATTTACTGTGTCGGTCAGGCTCAAATCCAATCCCCAATTAAACCTTTGCTTCTTTGTGATGTTCTTGTAGCTCCTGCTCTTATTAAAAATCTGATTTCTGTTCGCCAAATCACCACTGATAATCATGTTTTCGTTGAGTTTGACCCCTTTGGTTTGTCTGTGAAGGACTACCCAACCAAAGCCGAGATCGCTCGATTCAATAGCTCCGGTGATTTATATTCTCTCCATGGTGCGCCGGTCGCTGCTCCTCCAACATCTATGGTGGCCTCTGTTGATCTGTGGCACCAACGTCTCGGCCATCCCGATAAAAATGTGTTATCCACACTTCTTAGTGAATTTTCAATACCTTGTAATAGAGACTCTCCTTCTATGTGTCAGTCATGTCAATTGGGCAAACATGTTCGCCTTCCCTTTAGTTCCTCTCAATCCTCTAGTACTTTTCCTTTTGAATTACTTCATTGTGATCTCTGGACATCACCCATAGAAAGTGTATCTAGTTTTAATTATTATCTCATGATACTTGATGATTTTACTCATTATGTTTGGACTTTTCCTTTATGCAACAAATCCGACATTCATAATATATTCCTTAACTTTCAGCGCTATGTCTCGGTCCACTTTTTCCTCCCTATAAGATTCATCCAATGTGATAATGGTTGTGAATTTGACAACTTTAAAAATCGAAATTTCTTTCTACAATATGGAATTCTCTTGCGCTTCTCCTGTCCTTATACCTCCCCTCAAAACGGCAAAGCCGAGCGTTCTCTTCGTACTCTTAATGACATCATTCACACTCTGCTTGTTCAATCTTCCATGCCTCCGAAGTTCTGGACCGAGGCCCTCCACACGGCCACATATTTACTCAATATTTGTCCATCCAAAGTTAACCCACAAACTACTCCTTACTTCTCTTTATTTCTCTCTTATCCAAATTACTCTGACGTTCGCGTCTTCGGTTGTCTTTGTTTCCCAAACTCTTACTCCACTTCTCCTAACAAAATTTCCCTGCGCTCTACCCCGTGTGTCCATCTAGATTTCTCTGACGAGCACAAGGGTTATCGTTGTCTAGATCCTGTTAGTGGTCGTGTTCATGTGTCTCATCATGTAACATTCGCTGAAAACATTTTTCCCTTTTCTGAGCGTCAACAATTAGATCCCAACTCACCCATGCCCTCCACTAGTCCCTCTCGTCGCAATCATCTTCCCTTCTTTCACCCGCCGACCTATCCAGCGAAACCAGCCG